TTTTTTTTTTTTTTTCATTTCGAAATTTTTTTTCTGGGAATTTGGAAAATTTTAATAAATTTTGTTTACTTTTAGTTTAAGTAAATTATAGGAGATAATTCAAGCATTTAGAATCATTCGAACTAAAAGTCTGAAAGTTCAGCATTTAGCTGCCAATACGTTCGAATTGCGAAGTGTAACCATGACAAATTTCTTGAAGCTACTAATATTTAGATTTCTGCCGGAAAATAAATTTTCCATTTGCGTTTTTATTATTATTATGCATTATGTCTTTATAAATATGTATAAAAGATAATAGAAAAAGGCAACTTACAGATAATCGAAAAAAATTCAGCCGAAAGAAAGAATTTCTTAATTTTAGCCAGGAAGTAGGGAAAAAAAATATAAGTTTGGAAAATAAAAGATAAAAATAGAGAAAAATTTCATACCTAATACCATTAATTGGGTATTAGAGAAATAGATTTTCAATTAAACCATGTTCGATGGTTTAAATTAAATTTCAAAAATGTCGTTTCCAAACATATTTTATAAACTTACACGCAATACAACATACACATCTGTCAAACGTAACATGCACTTATATCCTTTTACTTCCCCAAACTGAAGAAATTTCAAACAGCTAATGCAGAAACAGATGCTAACAAAAACAAAAGTACTCTTTTCAGCTGAATTTTAATTTTATTGAATAATAAAGATTCAATTATGTCTATCGGGAAGAGGAAGCATTATTTTTATTTGTGTAATAATAACAATCCCCTTTAAAAGGCTGTATTCTAATCTTTCAGAAAATAAATTTTAGATCGTGGTATTTTTATTAGATTAACAGGCAGAAAATGGGCTGGTATAAAAAGTCCGCGTATCCTAACAGGTAAAGCATCTGATCTTCGCACCAGAAGAGTGCAGGTTCGAATTCTGCCACGGAAGCCGCGGTTTTTATTACTCCTACGTTTTAATTTTGTTTAGCGTTTGCTAAACAAATTAGGCTCACCAGCGGGAAGAGGTGAAATCGTTCAACATGGGTAGTTCCGACCTGGGTTCGATTCCAGGCGAAAGGGGCATTACCGTGTTTTCCCGATGTGTAACGCAGGTGTAACGTGTATACGAGCCAGTTTTCCTTAGAAACTTTTCCACGGAAGCATTCCTCCCCTAGTGTCAGTAGTGACAGTAGCCCTAGTGTGCTTTGCCGCAATCTCAGCAAACCAAATTGAACCTAAATAAATGAATCCCGCTTTTTTAATCTAAACTAATCTTCGAAATATTGTTAACACTTATATCGCTAATATAATTATTAAAAGGTAAATGTAAAATATTGCATATCTCGTATTTGAACATTTATTTATTTATTTATTTATTATTATTTCAGTTTAAACACTCTAGTCTAGCTGTCACCTAATCACAAGCTGTTACCTGATCTCAAAATTCATGATGACTAACTTCGCATTTATAATATATAATTTTTTTTTTTTTTTTAATTTAAGCAAAGTTTAGTCATTGATGTTAATTTTTAATCTGAAATTCAGAAGAGAATCCTAGCATTTGCATCCAACATCATTAGCGTACCAAACAGACGTAAAGCCTTTATTATTCTTCATGTTATATCCGAGATAGTAAAATATTTTTATAAGAAAGCTTTATAAATTACTTCAAAAATTTTTACTAAGTGATTATTTTCATACAAATGAAATGTGAATTTAAGTTATAAAATTATATTTGTTCGAGAAAAATAAATTTGGAAGTTTTTAAAGAAACTAAAATTTTCGAATCAATCAAATATCAAATTTTATTCATTACTTACTTATAGTAATTATGTGACATTTAGAATCGAAAAACGAAATATATTTTTCAATATTATCATCCAGGAAAACTAGTTTGAATTCCATTTTGATAATTATTGAATGTCTTGGATATTCTGATTTTCAATTGATTCAAAGAGTTTTAATAAAATTCTTAAGAAAGGATTTCGTTTTCCGTGATGGCAGCACAACAAGCTCTCTCTCTCTCTCTCTCTTTTTTTTTTTTTTTTTTCAATTCATAATTTGTTCAAAGATACAAATTAAATATCGACATGAATCACATGAAGACATTCCGATCCAAACTAAACCAAATTTCTTGCATCTAAAAATAGAAATGAAATTTAATTATTGAATTCTCCTACAGAAATTATCAAATTACATTTCATTTTTTCTATCGAATTCATAGTATTAGTTGATTTTTCATGGTCCTTTTTCCAAAACTGATGGCTCTATGAATCACAATTATTAAGAATTATTAAATACATTTTTACTTATATTAAACCATGAAATGTATTAAATCATCTTTAACAGTAATTATTAAAAATTTAAATAGATATGAGAAAACTGCATTGTGTTTATTTACTTTTATGTTTATTAATAATAAAAACAATTATCTTTTAATGGATTCAGTTTTTTTAAAGTTAAAAATTAAACTGAGAAATTAATTTTTCATAATGCCAATAATTAAATAATAGGTAAAGCTTTACCTAATTATTAGGCTTAAAAAGAAGAGATTTTACTAATCAGAATTCGAAGAGTTTAGTCAATCAATAATGTCATTCATATCCTTGGACCTGGATCCTTGGGTTTAGACCCAAAGAATGAATGAATGTTTATAAGTATATAGTGTCTGTGCGGCTCAGGACATTTAAATATTAGCGAGCCAGAAGTTGTCTAGAGTAGTTTGTTGTAGTAGAAAAAGGCCCTCGGACTCGTCTCACGGAGTGCTCTCCATCAAAATTGCGGCGTAGCTGCAAAATTAGGGCGGCGGGACTATACTTGTCAATCAATGGTGAAATTCTGGTGTCCACTTCTACCTGTAAGGAGGCTGTAATTAATTATCAACATATTTATAATGTTTTACTGTTAATTCTTTTCATTAGAGTTTCATAAGCTACTTATGCATGTAAGGGTAAAAGAAGAGATGAATTCAAAATAAAGCATTGTCTCATATCGCAGAAAGCTACCAAGCGAAGAGGTTTTAGAAGTTAAATGACTTTTTTATTAGTAATAACAATAACAATAAAAAAAAATGTGAAAGCTTTCAGATTTTTTTTATTGTTATTGTTATTACTAATAATTTTTAACCTTTTGTGTATTTATTTATTAAATATTCTTTGCACTTAAGCCATAAAACTCAATTCAACAGCAATATCGCAAAATAATTTTAAAATGAGCATAACTTAAGAATTTCCAGTACGCAGTCTCGCGCGCTGGAGATAATTCTCCCCCGTACAGTTTTGTCATTACTCGCTTTGAAATCGTTGAGTTTGTTAATCAAAAATTCTTTGAAGTGTTACAAAATATGAAATAGATAATAAAACAAATTCAAAATTTGGGCTTCCAGATGCCCATATTCGGGTGGAAACGTACGTTATTCAAAATTCGATGGCTTTAGGTACCGTCGTTTTATCACAATGCGAGAAACATACGTACATTTATGCAGATTCTTCATTATTTAATTTCCTTAAACACAGGGCGATAATATTTGGTGGCAACAATTTAAAAAGTGAACCAACATTCAAAGTTTTCTGCGCAAAATGCCAAAACGAAATTAATAGCCCTTCTGGGCAAACGCCCTTTGGGCTAATAATGCAATACAAGCTCAAAAAGATGAAATAAATGAAAATATCCCCTTGAATGGGCATGGAAACAAATAAAATAGTATATATTTTAAATTTTGAAAGATTACATGAGCAGGGGAATGATGTTCTAGATTAAAGAGCTCTGTATGTATGTATTATTATGAATAAAGGTTTTTAAGCAGTTCTGATTTCATTAAAATTTAAAATAATTAAATTCAACATAAATACTTAATAATTATTAATAACATTTTAGAAATTAGATTTATGAGTTTTAGAATGACTGATTTGTGCAGAAATAATTTCATTTGTGAAACAGTATACTTTTTAACTGTTCGATTTTCCTAAAAGACAAAATGCTGAAAAAACTATAGAGAAAAATTTTTGTTAATAAAATCATTTTCTCTCTGATTAGAAGACGCTAAAAGGGGAGGAGAAAACAGTTTGTAAATTTTAAATTAATATCTCGAAGAACAGTTTACCATTAAAAAATAAATAAATATTAAAAATTAAAAAACATCAACATTAGAATTTTTTAAAATAAATACTGCAACTCGATCTTCGCATTCAGATTGCAGTTACTGTTAAAAAATTCAAGTTACAGAACAAGTGTATATGTAAAATGAAATATTCAAAACAGCAATTCCAAGCAATAGGGAAGATCTAATATAATGTTACTCCATTAAATTAACGCTAAGTGGAGATTTTTATGCTTATTTATTTAATAGATATATATAATATTATAGGTATATAATAATATAATTTAATAGATATATATATAATATTAGATCTAATATAATGTTACTGCATTAAATTAACGCTAAGTGAAGATTTTTATGCTTATTTATTTAATAAAGAAAAGATTGTTCATATTCAGATTCAGATTATTAACAATTAACAACTGAGCTCGCCCGAGGAATTGAAGCAAACATTTTCCGCAAATGAATTGGCAAAAATTTTTATTTTGTCAGGACATATGATTTGCGCGATGAAAAATTCCCTTGGTTGCGCTAAAAATAAATAAAGAAAGAATAATAATTGCTGCTAAGGAGAGAAAACATTAAATACCTTATGAATTATGATTTCGTAAATAGGCTTTCAAACTTTTAAGTATTTAAAAGAAGGTCATTTCAACAACTGATTTTATAATCAGTAAAATTTTGAGCAACCAGTTTCACTGAACCGTATCGATGCAAAACGAGGGGCAGAAATGACACATCGTTTCATGATGAGGAATGGCTAATCTGCTCATGTTCAGACCCTAGGCGACAATCGTAGAGATGAGCGCCATTCACTTGGCGACAAAATTTTGATCCCAAACTATGGCAACCCTTTACAAACCTGGAGGGATGCCATCACCGTAAGCGAGCTGTTCCTGAAAAACACATTCTCATTCATTCGGCGATCAGCGGCGAAAAGTACCGATACGTGTGAACGAAGCTTCCTCGTTCCAAGTGCTTGTGGATATCGAAATACACCATCTTGCTCTCTCTCTTTATTTTTTATGAGCTTACGGACGTAAATCGAAATCTGTATAATTCTCGGAAGATCTGTTTTCGCGCAAAATACGGCCTGGTGGGAAAGAAATTGCCTTTCCACGTCATGTGGTGGAGGCCTAAGTTTCAAAATGTCGAGTATTTTGGGCAAAATATCTAAATTCACACTCAAGTTACCGTCTGCCTTGGCAAAAGCAGGACGTACTATGTCGGAATGCCCACTGGTAAGTAAAATCATGTAATTTTATTGTAGACTAACATCGATAAATGTTATTTTAGGATGGTTCTTCGTAGACTTTAAAATAGTATTCAAAAGAATTGCAAATCGCTGATTGTTCTTAATCATCATTTTCCTAAAAGTTGTCATCATTTTCTAAATAGTATTTTGTTATTAAATTTGAGGTAGTTACGAGGATAATTTCGTCTTTTTTTACCCCCTCCTTCTGTTTTTGTTGTAATCCAGTTGGTTTTGTCTACCTTGTAAAATGCAGCAGAAGATAATATTTTAAAAAATATCTCTTGATGATTTAAATTGATTTTATAAACTTCTCGTATGCATATTTTATTTTGTATAAGCTGTGATTTCGATTTTAACCTGTTAGTTTCGTCTGCTGAAATTTTTTAATTACAATTTCTCTTATCTTCGAGTTATTTGTTTTACATATTTAAAACGATAATCTTAAAATGCTATGTAACTTGCAAGCGAACACGTATGTGTAATTAATTCACGTTTAATCATTATTGATCAGGAACATGCAGTTTTTACTGTGAAGCACTGGACCAGGTATTCTTTAGATACTTTTAACACTATGCAAGGATAAGCATAGTTAATAATTAATTTGTTTAAAATGTTCTGGCAAATAATTTTGAAGAAACTACTGCATTTGAATATATGTATTCGTAATATTTTGATAAATTTACAGAGTCGAATTTTTTTTTCCTTTTCTATATCTTCATAGCTTTTGGTCTCAAAGTTTATCATCTTTTATTTCGAATTTAAGGAAAGACCTTACTTTACTATTTTCGTTACTTATGTGATATTATTAGTTATGATCCTTAATGTTTCGGACTTCGGATGAAATTATGCATCCCTATTATTTTTCATTTATCTATTTTTAAATGTGCACTTCTTTATGCTTGGAGACATTTTTATTAATCCGAGTAAAAAATTACCTTTCTTTTATATTCGATTTTTGTTTCAAACAAAACTTGTTTACGTTTTTAATATTAAACACCGTATCCTAAACTATAAATAAACTGTTATTTAAAATTTCCAAAACTTCACTCGGATACTGCAAAACCGGCTTTTAAAATTATTGAAAACAATGATGAATACTATTCGTTTTTTATGTTCTAGTAAGCGCAAGAACTAAATTAATGTGCAAAAAAATCGTGTATTTATATTTAATCAAGATCAGGGAAAAAAACAGCTGTTTACTTAATATTCCCTTCAGTCGGAATTATTCCCAAAACAGCCCAAGAAGCAAAAGTGGATATGATCACTCCCGTCGCCATCTTGAGTGATATCTGAGCTGAATTCATCTGAATGAACAATAATAATCGTCCAGTGTCAGTCGGCTTCACAAAGCGCGTCTGAATCTTTCATGGTTATCGCCCGAACCAAGTCGGCGCACTTCAAAGGGATGAATGGATGATAAACCGACGTTATCTTTCTTTCTTTTTTTTTTTTTTTTCTACTTGGATTTTTTTCCCCCCTTCGTTCTTTCCTGGAGCGGTTTTTCAAGTTGAATGAATTCAGCTGCAGTGTTTGGTGGGTAGCTTAGGTTTTTCGTTTATAGTCATATAAGGAAGTTTTTGACGTCGGGCTGTTATTATTTATTGGTCGGGGTATGACCTTCAAGACCGATAATTTTTTTTTATGCATGGGATATAAATGCTGTTTTCACTTGTTGTATATTAGCATTCTTCAACAGATGTGTTAAACCGTATTTTCCGCATATAAAAAATAAGTTAAAATAAATTTTTAGAATTTTTAACATTCAACTTACGAAAGTACTTTTTTATTTTCCAAAAAAAAAAAAAAAAAAAAAAAAAACCTGTTGATTTTCTAACTGAATTTATTAAATATGGATATCCTTTAAAAACTGACAGTTTGGGCTTAGAATATTATAATCTGATGATTATGAGATGGAATTTTAAAATTCTTTAATTATCTAAAATTTATTTTTGAAAACCTAGTTATGTGTTTTTAAAATTAATTTAATTCCCTAATTCGAAAGATGATTTTAGTAAAAAATTTGAAAAAATAGATGAAAAAAGTGAGGAATAAATAAAGAAAATAAATGATATATATAATGTAGTTTACATTAACAATTCAATATTTTAATAAGAAAAAATTTAGTTAAACAGAAATGAGCTCTTGATTTTTTAAATGCTTCTTAATATGAATTTTATTTAATTCAATGTTTCATTATTATGTTTAATATTTATAATTCTGTTGTAATGATTATTCTGTTCGTGAAATCTAGTTTATTTTGTAATAAAATTTTTATTTACTTGAAATTTACTTTCTGTGTAATGTAGTACAAGAAAAATATTTTTATTGTACACCTGAATTTATTCATACAAACTGTAAATAATTAAAATGCAATGCATTATTTAAAAAATGTGTTCTGAAATATTTCAGATGAAAATGATTTTTTAGTAAAACTTTTAATTAAAAAAAAAATTGTTTTAAAATAGAAATGTGTAACTTTTCGACCTATTTGTGAATAGAATACGCTAGAAACTTTTTCATGTATTTGGTCGTAAATTCAAACGATTTAAAATTTATAAACATGCAATATTAAAGTTGTCCAGAATTCTATATTCTCCGTCAACCGGCGCAAGGCTGAAGAAGCGAGAAAAGAACATAAACACTTTCTGGATCCATTCCAAGAGATTTAACCTCGGCATGTTTGGAAGCGCCGAAAGCGTAATTACGTGTGCAGTCGTTAGCGGACGGCGCATAGCGTAAATTTTTCGTTACATATGCAGTAAGATAAATTTAAAGTGCCAAAAAGGAAACAGAAAAACATCCAAGACATATCATTTCTCCGTATCGTTTTCTTGCTTCACCTTTTTCTTATTGATTGCGATTCTAAGAAGATTATAAATACTCATAATTTTAACGTCATTTTGTTGATCCAAGATCTTATGAAAGCAAGCGTCTGCAAGTTGTTCGTATGCGTTATATAAATCAATGTTTCTCAACTTTTTTTTTTTTTTTTTTTTTTTTTTTGGGGGGGGGTCCGCAGACCGGAAAACTTTTAAGAAAAAATTTCGCGTACCGGTGGTTTTTTTTCACCCCTCCCCCCAAAAAAAACACTTTACAAGGTATTCAAGAATTATTACATAAGTCAATTGTAATATACTTATTACCATTTGCCTACAATCATATTTAAATATAAAGATATATATTATAAGTAAATAAACCTTTGAGAAAAATCACACAATATTCCAAAAAATAATCACAAAAATCCTTGCAAATAAAAACGGATCAGTGACGGTCCCTGGACAAGCGAACAAGGATCCCTTATCTACCATACCTGAAGCGCCACTTGTCAACCTCTTTTCGGCCTCAAGTGGTAACAACTGAAATAATCGGAATTCATAATAATGCTTTCGTTGGAATGAACAGCTCTACAAACAACACATTCAAGTTTTGGACAATTTGATTGTGTTCAAAGGACAAAACCATATTTCAAATAGACTGCGACAGAGTTCCTTAAAAAGCTTTTTCTTTTTTTTTGGCAGATTGTGGACTATATTCACCTTCACCTGTATTCGAAGGGGCGGACGTCGTACTTGGTTTTTGAGAATTTGCACAAAATTTAGTAATGTGCCTTTCGTTTCCTTCTTACTCATCCTGGTTATTGATTTTTAATCTACCTAAAGTTAAAGGAATAGTAGTTATAGCACAGTATTAAATTCAGAAGTTATTAAAAACTTATGCTGATGTACAGTTTTCAGTTGTCCAAGAGTGCAGAAAAATGTAAGCAAGATAAAAAGCGAAACCTAACCTAAGACGCCTTAAACACTACGATAGATATTCAGCGTTCAAAATAATCAGCGATACTCAAGGCAGACAGGGGCACACTTATTGGTGTACTAAGTGTACGGCAAGACAATTTATGAAAGGCGATTAGGTACATAGTTGCCGGTTTGTTATATTTTTCATCGTCGATCATATTATTTTCTAAACTAGTAAACTATTGTTATTGTAATGTAGGTGCTGGTCGGTTGTTGGCCGATGACACTTTGGGTTTTGGACAGATAGCTGGATATTTCGCGGAAAGGCGGTTGAGAAGCACTGATTTAAATTACTTATTTTAACTTTCTTTTTTGTCGCAAGAAGAGATAATTTTGCTTTGTGTTGTATCAACTCTATACATAAAATACTTTAATGAAAATCTTCAAACTACACTATTCGTTCGGGGAAGTAAGGAATATATACATATAATATATGTACTGGTAACACTAGAAATCGATGAATCACTGCCTACCATACTGTAAAATATTTACGGGTATTTTTCAGACTGAGAGGGTATTGGAGTTTTTCTTAGCGTAGCAAAGTGAGGCAATATGCTTTATGATGACACTTTGATATTTTTGGAAAAGTTACCATTTAAATAATTTATCGTTTGAACAGTGACTTTTATGCGGTAATTATTAATATCACTTACTGTTATTATTTGTATTCTTCATATACCTTCACAATAAATAAATAAAATAAGGGAAACAAACAAAATCATAACTAGGATTATTTAAATTAAAATTTAAAATATCGTAAGGTTAAGATTAGAATAATACGAAAAAGTTTACTTTGCGTGGACATTTCATAACTGTCTTTTAAACTGTTGTAATAAAATGAATTGTGTTTAATGCGGCCTCTGTCCGAATTAAATATAAATTCAAAAAGTGACTTTCTTGCGATGTCATCGTAAATTGTGCTTATCCTAAGATGCTGAATCAGTATTTTCAATTGAAATGCTTATGTGAATCGTCTGACACATATCATCTGCTCGGTTGTTGCTCGCCCTGAAAACAGACTGATCGTGACTAATTTTTATCTGACCTCTTTTTTTCCTCAGCTTTATACCTACAGTGCTCTCAGAACCACGTATCGGTGGCTCAGTGTATGCTATCTTTAATTGCATGGACTTTTGGAACAATGGAACAGACTTCGAAATTGAAATTTGTCATCAGAGGACCGACATTTTTGTAAAAGGTAAAGGCAATCTTGGGCAAGTACAGCATTCTTGATGAAGGGGAAATTTTTGTTTTTAATCAGAATTTTTAGAAAGATGGAACGTAGATAAAAACTGTACTTTTGTGCCTCTATCTCAATATTTTAATAAAAAGTATTAAAGGAACAATCGCAAATTTCTGGAATTAAAATAATAAGAAATAAATAATCAGTTAAATATACATTCACAAAACAGAATTAGGTATGAAATGTCTCAAATAATCGCTAAACAAGAAGCAAACAGTTATTCTGTGTTTGAATATGTAACAAATGGCTTTGAGGGGTTATTAAGAAATACATGTAAGTGTTTTTAAATCCGACAGTTTGTTACCATTATACCAAAGTACAATGTTGCACAAGTAGTGTTGATTGAATTATAGAATGTAGACGGATGAAATATCAGTTGAATAAAAATTTAGAGTTAATTATCGTTGCATGCTGTCGCAATTGCTACTATGCCTTCAGAATGTAACATCAGTCGAGAAGAGGTAAATTATGGGGGGGGGGCTGCTGAGTGAGCGTGAGCTCTGCTCTGGTGAGTCACGGAGTCATCGATGCATCCAGCCGTGCGTATTGCTGACAGTTTGCGAGCCCTCCCTCCTTTATTTATTTTTTTTTCCAGACCGAGAACAGCAGTCTTTTGTTCCATAGAATGTTCGTTTAACTTTTTTTTTAGGTTATGTTTCTGGTTAAAAATTGCCGGCCTTATCATTAAGATGAGCTGGCCGTCGCATATAGAGGGTATGATAAAGAAGTAATTATATTTTAATTCATTATTAAATTCATTTACAAAATACGGTCTTCCTAAAGTCCAGATATTTCTGCTGAGTCTTATTTAATTCTTGCCAATGAACAAACGGTTGGAAAACGCGAATAATCTAATAGGACCGTATACATTGTAAAGACTGAACTCTTCAGATGGTTTAATGACTATTACATCTTTTTCAACTCACGCGGGCAGAAGCTTCGAAAAATTTGACATCTGTGACGTGAATAATTTTATTCTGTGGTATTAATCAGACCTAGTATGTAATTCTAAAAAAAAATGCAATTTAAACAGCAAAATCAAAATTTTCTCATGGAGTTTTCAATATTTTTGGCAAATGCTTACTAAGAAGGAAATAAATGAAGAGTGAATGCGTTTCCAAATGGATTGCAAAAAAGCCCGCTTTCCCCAATCGTTGCTGAATGAGAGGCATGCTGGGATTAATAGCCACGTGTGACGTCACAATGTCGGCGGATCAATTTTCGAACGGCTGTTGTTGAACGTGGGGGGAATACGACGACTCCCTTGGCTCTATTCTGCGCTGTCATTTTGTCTCAGTCATTGATTGGCCAATGATGGCGTGATATACGGCCATTATTTGCGCACTTCCCGCTCTCTAACTGTCAGCCGACTTATTATATTTTTCTCTAAAAAAAATGATCACGTTTTTTATTATTGTTTATTTCTGGTCTCAGAGTCTTATTAAGTCGCCTAATTAAAAAAAAAATGTCAATTTTTAATACGTGGCGAAAGATGGACACTGAAGAATTTTTTTATTTGTATTGCTAAACTTCTTTAATAAGCTTATTAGGATTATTTTCCAAGAAGGGCTTCAATTTTTATATGCTTTTTCTTTTTAAAGGAAAACCACATCATCGAAATTCTATAGTCTGTTGTATAAATATTTGTGTTTATTTGTTTATATTTTTCGACTTTTGTTGTGTAATAGGCTTCCTCTATTTTCCCTCAACTATGTATTTATTTTTATTTATATCTTTTTTTATTGCGTTTGCATGTCGTAACCCATTTTTATATTAGATATTGCAAAATTCGTCAATGTTTGTAATATGTTTATAATTTTTTCATAAACACAAAGGAAATTAATAATCTAGGCACTTATTTTATCTTTGCATCATTTATAAGTAGAACTAATTATGGAAATAAAGAAACGGCATAAAAATTAATATAAAACATTTATTGTTATAATTTACAGGTATAACAATTACATTTTAATGTGAATGGTTTTCCTCACAATGAAGTTAATGATAAAAGATAGCGAAAAACCAATCATTTTGTAATATGTTTTATGGTTCTGAACTTTCAAAAACTGTTAAAAGTTTTATTGTTTTATAGCTGTTCTTCACTTCGATGCCACAATGTTCCACAGTTGCTTCATCATCAAAATATCGACAGGTATGATGTCTTCCAGCTGTTCAGTATGCAATTTGTATGCGAACTGTTGTGTAGATTTTCTGAGCGCTGAATGTAGAGCAATTACTGTATGAAAAACAGTGTATTATATTTATAGGTAATCCAGACCATAACTTTCATGCATTAAGTAGTTACCTTATTTAGAGTCTTTTAATATTTTTTTTAGCTATTGGTTAGCAGTCCTATTTAAATTGCAGCTTTCTTAAATTAATTTTTGACACATTTTGCATCTTAAGCCTAGCACCATTGGTCATCACCCATATGGTTTCCTATACTCCGGCGCTACTTGCAGGCTCATTAAATTAATTAGGATTCTGTTTTAATTAATGTTTAGTATTAAATTTGTTCTAATTCAAAGGTTCTCGTGCCATAAGTGGAAAAATGTAAATTTTGTACCTTAAATTGGTCTTAGGTAAAACTGTAATAAAAAGATTAATGAAATCAGTCATAAGTTTTATACCTCTTTAATGCGAAATTTTATTTAAATATAGTTATGATAATAATGATCTATTAAATATGCAAATAAGAGATATTTTTAAAAACAACAAATCTTAAATTTATAAGTACCTAAAATAATACATGTAAGATGATATAGCTAAAACAAAGTACTTTCAGTATTCAGTACTTACATGTTATTTGGAATAATCCACTTCAAGAAATCTTAGGGAAGGATTAAATCAGTTGCAACTGTTATTCTTCTTCCCTAAGATTAAACAGTCTCGAGAAAGTATAACATTCTAAACATGATGAAAATGGGTCAGAAAAACTTTGGAAACTATTGTTTTAATTTATGATCTTGGATATCATTTTAAATAACAAAATTTCTGTATTCCATTTGTAAAGCGCAGTTAAAAAATCCTATGATACATGAGGTAATATTGTAAACATTAACTATCAGTTCGACGATTAGATTCTGATCGTTGTGTATATTGACATTGGTCCTTGAATGTGTGTGTGTGAGGGGGGGGAATCTAATTTTGCATAAAGAAATTAAAAATAATAAAAAACCCGCTGTTTCTTCGCAAAAAAACATACTGAAAACACCAATCTTGTGAAGGAAGGGTGACATGGGGGAACGAATCAAAGCTAACAAAAGTTGAAGGAATAATACCAACAATAAGAAAAAAGTCCTACCATCCGAAACTGGTTTTAGCACGATCTACTGAAGAGAAAAATAGTAGGGTAAAAAATAATAACGAACGAAGCGGAATAACTTAAAAAAAGTGCATAGCGAAGCGAGCACAGAGCATGCTAGGCGGCAAGCCTTGCTCTTTCTGCCTTATAATTAGCCGCAGTACCGACAGCTTTCCTGGAAAAAAAGACAGAATATCGCGAACGCCGCTAGTGGGCGCTACAGGTTAAACTTTAATTTCGGATTCGGAACGTTTTAATATTGCCCGGTCTCTAATTCTTGTCGGCTATCCCTCTAATTTTCTTCCGTTTTCTTTCTTTCTTTTTCTTTTTTCTTTTTACTACTGGGGAAGGGGGATGAGAAATGAAGGGTGTAAGAAAACTTGATTTTTTTCTTGTGGCCTTTTTTTTTTTTTTTTTTTTTTTTTTTTATAACGTTGATTATCTGTCGAAGGATTTGCGATGAGTTGTTTTGCGAGAGAAGTGTTGAACTGCTTACAACGGATACACTTTAAGCTTTGAAATTCGATATATCATTCCTACGTTATTACCAGTGTCTCCACGCGTATGTTTTGAAAACTTTCCAAAGCTATTTAGTTAAAATTCTTCGTCATGAGTCATCCTTTCGATAATCAAATTTTTGAATGCTAATCATTGGAATTAATTTATTTTGCTGCTTGAAATTGTATACTGAAATCAGCTGAAGTCTCTTTCTAGAGAGCGAAAACGGTTAATTGTTACAATTTTTTTCTCTTTATTTCATATGCAATTGAGTGTTTTTTTTTAAAGCATCGTAAAATAATATTTCTTCAGGAAAAAGTAATGTAAAATCATTATAACAAATAGCATTTTCTGTGAGACTTTTGTTGAATTTCATATCATTAAGTTTTTCCAAGCCAATACACACTTTTCACAAAATATAAACACAGTTCTACAGTAATTACAATTTACTATCTTTTTTATATGATCCAAGCAAAAGTAAATCCTGTTCGGTTCGTAAGGTTGCCATTGCGTAATAAATATTAATTCTGAAAGTAAACAAACGATTTCATAATGTTGTTCCCCAAAATATGAAAAAGAATAATTATCAAATTGCACCTCTCATTTAATATAGTATATATAATACAAAAGTTAGTAAATAATTTTAAAAAATTCGCATTTGGTTGAATCTGCAATGTTTACTAATGTAGTTAGCACAGAAGGGAATAAAATTGTGGTTTATAAAAAGAAGCTTACTGTGGAAATTTAAATTACAGTAACGTCCACTAGATGGCGCTTTATCCATAGAAAGAATAAATTATTTCGGGATTAGAGAGTGCTCTATGTAGCAGTCATCATTATGAGGCACCACTTGAATATGAGCTACTAAGGAGACGGAGGGGGGGCGAAGAAGATGATTTTCTTGAGAATATTTGGCACATAGTTGCTCGAACATAAAAATTTGTGGAACGATTTTATACAGTAAATACTAATAAAAATTTCAAGAATTATTTTTTTAACGATTATCTCTTCGAAAATTAAAAAAAATATTTTTTATAAAAACTAATGATCTACGTCCTCAAAGAAGATTAAGTAAAATTATGGAGATTAGCAATTAATTCTATGCAGGTAAACGAATCTGCGAATTTCTACGAAGATCTTGTAAGCAACAATTATTATTGGTCATAATAACTACAACTACTTCTACTAGCTAATAACTACTAGTACTACTTTCACTTCACCTATCGCTTAGCTTGAAGTGTTGTGATGAATGAAATCAACAAGAAATTATCGAGCACTAGAAAGAATAATAAAGATGTTATAATACTAAAAACTGATTCTTGCTTTTGTTTTTGTCAAATTATAATCAAAAAGAACGTTGCAAGTTACTACAAACTTGTTGACCCGGACGTGATTTGAACACGCAACCTTCTGAATCTATTAACGATCACTTTTCAGGGCTATTATTTTAACGATTATTTCTACTGTGGCGATGTCATATTCATGTTTCTTTGATTACTGTAATATTAACTATGTTTTCTTGCTGAAACTATTATGGTGAAAATGTATTAATTCCCAGTTCCTTTAATCAGATTTTCAATGAAATATTTTGACAAGATCAGTGCAGCTCTTAAATTTTTCTACTTATTTTTCCATATGGGAATTTACCTAAATGAATCTTTTTAAAACTAATGAAGTATTTGTTTTAGTTTCTGAATTTTTCCATTTTTCTTTATTTATATTTCATACTAATGACTTTTCGTTGGTATTTCGTACTATAAATAAACTATTATATGGCATAGCTATAACCGTGACTCGCCACTGCAATTGTTTTTAGAAGAGTTTGTGTTCTTAACAGATTTATAGTTAATTTACAAATTGATTTATTACTTTATGTACTGCAAAGAGTATCGTACAAAAAGTTTTGTACCATGATCTTTCAACTTTGGAGTTAAAATGTTCAAGTTCTTGGTAACCAGAAATGATATTACTGACCACAGAGGTTAAGGTTTCATGTCTGTCACTGCATTGTGTAGGAATTTCAACTGAATCGTATGGCGAAGAAATGTAGTCAACCTCAATTCGATATACCCGATTTAACGATTGTTTTCATTATTTCGAGATAAAATGTATGAAACCAACGGCAAATTATCTTGTGTTACCGATTTCTTTAAAATGATTCGTTTCCCTCCGCCATGTAGGTTATAACATAATTTCTGTACAGTGTTGAGTAATTGGTGGTACACATTAAAAAATAAAATTAACATTTTATCTTAGATTTAAGCCTCCTCTTGGGACTAAGGTCCGTTATCAAGGAACGTACGCTAAAATGGGAGTGTAAGAACCACTAACACGGAGTATCAGATAACAGAGATTCGACTTTTGTTTACATTACGTTTAAAACTGAATTCAGACAATTCCTCAAATTAAAAACAATTTTCAAAATTTCATGACAGACGCTAAATCGGAGTTTGATTTCATTAAATTATAGGGTTATTATTATTTTAAGTAACCACTTACGTATAATTTCCTCTCTACTATCACTTCTCCTTTCTGTTTTCTCATCCAGAACATAAACTCGTGTAGAGAGTATTAAATATTCTCGAGTCCAGGGTTTTGTCGAAGATTTTGGTTTGTAAGACAGAATATGTTTCTGCCTCTCGAGATCACGTTATTAGGTTTGCCAAGATTTAATTCTTCGGGTTTTCGTTATTGCTGCCGTTATTTAAATTGTTACGCCTGTGAGAAGTTTTGAGTCAACTTCGCATTAGACCAGTTGTGTACTCTTTGTTGTACTTAGTTTTAACTTTCGAATTTGACTGTTACTTCAAGTTCATCTCCACAAATTGTCGTTGAATTGTAAGCATGAGACGTGCATTTTATGTTCAAGTTCTGGTTTAATAAAAATATTGTTTTAAATCTTTTCAAGACTCTGTTGTGACTTCAGACCAAGCGATAATTTGCTCAAAGTCTGTTAAGATGCACTAGTTAATGCTAAAAAATTCTATAAATTATATCAGGCCGTTTGAACATTTTTTTATGTGTTCTGTTTAGTTTGCCCATTTTTTCTCCTTCATCGAATAAGGCATGGGTTAAAACATAAAACTATTTTATGTTTTATATCTAGCACCTTTCCTTAAATTACCTGAAATTTTTACTAGTGTTTATTATTTCTGTGTATCTATTAATAAATTAGTCCTCTGTTTCAGGATGTTTTTAATTGAAAATTCGATTGAAATAAGCAAATTCAAAAAGAACGCCGCCAGAGTGCAATATACAATAGACTCCCGATTAACTAGGGCAATGGGAGTGGGAGGGCGATATCTACGATTAAATCTAAAATCCCGAATCGGACTGCAGTTGGGGAAAAC